AACTTTGATCTGAGTATAGGTATCAATCTTTTTCAGTTGAAGTGTGTGTGCAAAGGGCAAAAACGAAAAAAGTCGAAGGAGCAGATTTCATGAAGCATCTCGGAAAACCCTGTCCGCGCTGAGAAGTGGGCGGGGATAATGGGGCGGGGCTTGCAACAGTACCTAGTGTGGTCTAGTTATCAACCACCTAATTGTAAGGGGTGTGTCCGATTTGATTTGAAAAGTGTCCGATTTGGTTTGAAAAGTGTCCGATTTGATTTGAAAAGTGTCCGATTTGGTTTGAAAAGTGTCCGATTTGATTTGAAAAGTGTCCGATTTGGTTTGAAAAGTGTCCGATTTGGTTTGAAAAGTGTCCGATTTGGTTTGAAAAGTGTCCGATTTGGTTTGAAGTGTCCGATTTGGTTTGAAAAGTGTCCGATTTGGTTTGAAAAGTGTCCGATTTGGTTTGAAAAGTGTCCGATTTAAAGTGAAAATGGTATAAAAAGGTGAACTGGTAATGTTTGATTCCGGGCAGCAGTACCTGAATAATTTGAGGCTCTTTGCAGTCCAGAAGTGCGCAGAATGGGCGGATCACGCCACAATTCACCATCTGTTCCACCTGATCTGGACGACCAGAAATGGTGACATTCGATACGGCCCAAGCTGCTTCCTGTAAAAGAGCATTAACCTGATCTCACCGAAATCATCCCCCATCTCCCTATCTGTTGAAACGTTCCCACAATGTCAAAGCTCGTCCTCCACATGTTCACAATTAGATCATATTTAGACTTCGCGATCTGTTCGTTCGATTGGATAGCGCGGCCACGACTTGGGCCGCGTTTGCTCACTGCCAATTTGAACTATGCTGGTTGGCCCTGCGCCCCCGGTCGTGGTCGCGCGATCGATCAAGCGATCCAATGGCGAAGTCTAAACGCGGTCTTGTTCATCCATTCAACAATCCGCTTTTCAGCTTTAGGCATTCCGTTCCTTAAAGTCATCTGAAAGTCAGAACTCAAACCTTCTGTGTTGGAAAATCGGCTTTCCCAAGCAAATTGATAATCAACGGCATAAGACCGGCATCGAGCACTGCTTGGACTTGATTCTGGTTACCAGCGGTGATATTCGACAAGAACCATACAGCTTCCTAAAGAGAAAATGGGATCGTCAAAATGACCCTGATCACAATATTTCACTGATACATACCTTGTTGATCTTCTCCTTCTGATGAGAAAGAAGCTGGGGCATTTCTTGCAGCACACCGCAGTCAAGAACAAGTTGTGTCTGCTCATCAGATCCTGTGACGATATTTCCAACAGCACGCAATGCTGCAGTTTGCACTTTCGCGTCACTATGGCCGAGCATGGGCACCAACGACGGAACGATCTGCATCAGAATACGTTTCATCACTTGCTTTCTTAGGCAGCGTTTAGACTTCGACGGCAGTGCTTCGGTCGCGTGTTCGTCACAATCTGGCGCATGCTTTCGACTGCGTCGACGACGAAAGCATGCGCGATCAATCGCGTCGAACGTGCCACCGAAGCGCTGCCCTCGCAAAGTTTGAACACCGCCTTAGCCCTGCTTAGCAAACAGACAACTTTGCACTCACTCCGCTATCAATAACCATTTGGATCTGCTCGTTTCCCCCGTCCGTGAGATACGACAGCGCCCATACGGTGTCAACCAAAATGTTGGCATCCTGACGAAAAGTCGCGGATTATATGGGGTAGGGTCCTGACAGTGGAAAATAAGCTCACACTCACGTCATGGTGAATGAGCAACACCAAAGCCGGCAAAATGGTCTTCACGATTTCCGGAGTGGGTGGTGGGTCTTTTGAACGACACAAATTGACCTAAATTGTTCTCGTAAGAGACCAGAACTCTAAAAACCAAAAGATGACAAAGTAAAATCACAGAGTCGAGAGAAAATGAACTCACAATAACCCAAGTGACATTCCGCAGAAAGCCGAGGGGAATCTCAGGTGTGATGAAATTGAGAAGTAACGGCAGAATACCAAGTCCAAGACAATAGTCTCGGAAATGTGGTCCGTCTCCTGAAAAAAAAAATTTCTATGATTTCTTTCTGAAGAGTGTCGTTGTGTAAAATGTCGAAAAACTTCCAACGCGAAGATTCATCCGCAAAGCGACTTTTTTGCATTCTTGTGCGAATTCCACTACAACGCCCCCTGCACACAGCAGACCTCAATGGAAGCCTCGCCCCAGATTGTCACGCCTCCCTTTTGCGAACATAATTTCCTACTATACATACACTCTACTTCGCTGCGGACGGTTGGGCGTGTCAGCCAGTATGAGTGTGTCACCCTCTTTGAGCTGTTCTCTGCCTTCTTGTTGAAACGGGCATGCGACAAAAAGCAGTAGAAAACAAGTAATACGAAAGGTATGATACAGTATTGTCATTTGCTCGCTTGAACAACTCGTGGAGAACGAGTTTGGCACCGCGCCAAACGCAGCCGCACGAACACGCCCAACCGTCCGCAATGAACTACACTATAATCGGCTGGGTATGAGTGTGTGTATGTGTGTCTGTGTGTGCGTCTGTCTGTCTGTCACGAAATTCATAGCACCTGAAGAAGAGCCTGGGGGTCGGGTTCATGGTGGGGATGGAATGGTGGCATGCGGGACAAAACTATAAGTAGCACCATGACCCGCGTATAAGCTCCGCCGCATGTGGGCGGGGGCAATAGCGATGCCACTGCTAAAACCGTAGGTAACTCAGTTCGAGGCATGTCCCAGACGAGGGAACAGCTGCCAAGTAAGTTAACAAAAGGCTGACCGACCGAAAAAGGAGGACCCCGGTTGGGCAGGGGCCGTACTTTCGAGATGGGCGGCGCTTCTCGTTTCGTTGAAAAAAAGCTATAACTCCTACAAAGCACCTCGGAGACGGGAAAAAGTGGGATAAGGTTAGCATTGGGTTGGCGAAGCATGGACAGGAGACGCAAGACCCGAAACGGGCGGACGCTACCCCCAAACCCCACATTGAGACGCGGCGGCGGCTTCGTCTTCGACCTTATTACTGGGAAAAAAAAAGCCATAATTTGGCCTACAAAGCACATCGGAGACGTGAAAAAGTGGCGCAGAAAAGAGTTATCACCGGCGTGTGGCAGAGCAAGAATGAGGAGGATGACACATCCGAGAATGGGCGGGGGATGTACTTGAGGCCCAATGGCGGTACTACCGCCGCCACAGCAGCCGCCGTGGGTACTCATCGCGGCACAGAAGGTCGGTAAGCTCGCGGTTCGCGATATAGGATCAGAGATCGTAAACGACGTCTCATGAAGGCAAGCTGATTGAAATCTGGCAAGTGTCCTCCGCACCATGTCTGTGGGTGCTGAGGCTCGCCCGCAGTTGGGGCGGAAGCGTGCCTTGGGACACGAAGCAGTACCAATTTAAAATCGCGCAGATGGTCCCAAAGCACTACAGACAGACTGGGAGGAAAGTGAGATTATGGCTCCTCAACGCTGAAAATGTGAGAACTGTCCGAGGCACTTCCCGTTCGTGGCGCGGGCGTCGCCCCTAGGTAGAGTTGGAGGCAAGATTCCGAAAAATTTCGCTAAACGATTCCAGCAGCACTCCAGACACCGGAAAAAAAGTAGTTTAAAATCAGCGAAGGGGTCGTCGGCTCACTAAGTGGCAGGCCACAACGTTAGTGAAACAGGGAGCGTGCGGCGAATGTGCGGTTTGGAGCCACATTTAAAAATACTAAACGGTTCGCTCCAGCGGAAAAAGTAAGATCGTCGAGCGGGTCACCGAGTTCACATGAGCACATCGCTGCTGGGATGGAGCGTGCACCCGACGTCGCGAGTGTGGAGACGAAGCCAGGCTTAAGGGTTCTTCAAGCCGGGTCCAGAAGCACTCCAAGCCCTCCTGTGTGAATACAGCCCGGCCTTGCGCGGGCGTGCGGACTCCACCATCGCCTCCACCTGCGAATTTGTATTGATCAAACTGGTCTACATCATACCAAGCGTATTTACTTCTCATCTGTCCACACTGATCAACGCTTCTCAGTAACAAGAAAACAAGAATAATCATAGAAGATATACTGAGAATAAATGAAGAGATAAAGCGATAAGTAGAAGGAAGCGCGCACCGCTCGGCGATAGCCGTGGTGTAGTCTCGGAAAGAGCGAAGCCGGCTGGCACAGTAATATTACGCACATTACACTCTACAAATTCATCGATTTTTCCACATTTCACTTCGATCGCATTTCATTGGAATGGACTTACATATAATGCTTCACTTGAGCCTCTCCCCCCCCCCCCCCGACGACTCCGCCTATTTAATAGAGGGTTTGTTGTAAATTTCGCAGCTTTATCCGCTGACATCGTTCTTCTGTGGCCTTTCCACAGTTACATCGCACATATAGAGCCAACTGCTCGCGAGGGGCAAACCGGAAACGAAGCAGAGCCGGAAAACCACGTCACTGGCTGGCCCATTCTGTTTCGGCCCTCTGTGTCGGTTAAAGACAGCCCCCGCGCTCGAGTAGTACATGGTCGTCCTTCCTTGTGCAAGTAGTACAGCCCCCAAGCTAGAGACTGTCCCACTCTATTCGACACAGCGAGCGAGGAGCGAGCTACAGCCGCTGAAAGTTCTAGTTCTAACGCCCGCTCAGTTGGACCGCCTCACTTGCTAGATGCCCTCCGACGGAGGGCCGCTCAGTTGTTCTTTGTTGGGGCGGCGGGCACTAATCGGCGTTCATGTCCTTTTCGCTGACCACGCTCGATGTTATTTATAAATACCACCAATCACGCCGTGCGATTGCGTACTCACTGCTGCTACCGTAATCCACGTCTAATATTCATACTGTGGCTACTTCGCCAATTGTAATTAAGCAAAGGCAAAGAAAATGGCTGTGATTGTGCCGAAGGAGATAGTGAAGATTCAATTTTGTTTCAAGCTTGTTTTTAATTGGCTTAATCATTGGCGCTTTTTCAGACCCTTTGCTAGTAGAGGATGCGCTCCTCAAGTCAAACCGATACTCATGGTTGTTATAGAGTGCTTAATAGTGGTTGTTTCCTGGTCAAAATGCCAAGCGAGTGCAAACATGACTGAAGGGGAGGCGGGGGGGGGAACCTGGGCCAGTGCTTCGCGGAAATCGCGACGAAGGGGTCGCATGTTGCATGCAGGTAGTAGAGGGGATGGGGTCGTAAGTGCAGGTGTCACTACTGCGCAAAGCTGTGGCAAATAAGTGAAGCACTGTTTTTGTGTCTCGCCGTGGAGTGCCGTATTCAGTCTGGCTGCAAATTCATGATAAATTGATGTAGTGTAAATGAAACCACCACACAGCAGAAAGTGAAGTCTGAGTATGACAAGGGAACCATTAGTTGTACGATAGGGTTGTCCTCCCTGAAGCTCGTCCACAGGTTCATATTTCTATGTCTCTGCGATCTGGACTGAAGATGAATACAAGTCGCGCGTTACATAGAACGGTTTGACAGCGCTCCTGTGCTTCAAGTTTTATTCATATTAAGCGGTTTCTGGATAGAAGTGTGGCTTATGTAATCGAGACTTTCTTGTTGCAGCTATAGTAAACCCTCGGATCAAATCCGCGTCGAGTGATTTTTGATATAGTAGGCCCAAAATACATATTGTACTCATTAGGAAGAGGAAAATTTATTTTTCAAGTTCGTCTAGTTCTGTGGTTCAATGGTAAGTTATGTTCGAACCAACCCATGTCCATGAAAAATCAAAAATTCGCTTCTACCGAAAATTCCTCGCGTTATCCAAGGACCGAGGCCGTATGAACACTTCTTTCTGTAGCGGGTCATACCATACGAGTGATTTTGCATTTGTAGGATCCTGAGGGCTTGCGATGCATAGTTCCTTCTCAAAAGAGACATAAGCCTAAGTTGCGGATCGCAAGTTGGGCCGCGTTCATACATGTCGACGTTGTGGAAGTGACGGAAATTGCGGAAAGTAAATGCATACGTATCGATTCGAAAACTGCACTTCTGACAAATTCCGCGGAATTTGCAGAAAGAACAGAAATGACGGAAAAAGAAATGACAGGAATCGATCGGATCGTTCCTGCCGTCGTGCGGAATTGGGAGAAATACAGATTCTGCAGATTCCGCACTTCGGCAAATTCCGCGGAATTTGCAGAAATGCAGAAATTACGGACAAAGAAGCGATAGGGATCGATCGGTCCATCGGCATTTCTGCAAATTCCGCACTTCTGCATATTCCACGGTTTTTGAAATCGATAGACATATTTTCTTTTTCTGCAAGTTCCGCGGTTCTCCCAATTCCGCAGGTCTGCAAATTCGCAGTTCTGCACATTCCGTGGTTTGGCATTTCTGCATCATGTATGAACGCGGCCTTACAGTTGGCGCAGCAGCCGCAGCTGTGAATTCGCTTTAGGCTGGTATTACGGTAGCAGCAGCGAGTACGCAATGCACGGCGTGATTGGTGGTATTTATAAATAACATCACCACGCTCGTGCCTATGATTAATTCTGCTTCCCTTTATTACATTTTATTCATTAGCAGCACATACAGTCAACTTCATCCCATCTCGCAAGGTAAAACGCGTAAAAATCACGAGCGACCCAATTTTCGTGGTGCAAAAGCTCGACGCACTAAACACACTAAAAGATGCACGCTACCGTAACCCTTAATTCGGACGCCGAGTTTTTAAAAGTTTATTTTCCTTTTCCAAGAGTTTTTCCTTCGTGTTCTTGTTTTTTGTATTCTTTTCTTTGCACTGGATGATATCAACTACTGCGAGATGTGATAAAGGGATTTGTGAGCCAGGGGTTGCACAGAGACCGCAGGAAGGTGTGACTGCCAGGGAGCGATTTTGTTTATGGTGTTCTTGAGAACTCTTCTTGCTTTTTCTCTTCTTTGGAGAATTACTTATCAGCTACTGTTTCATAATTGAAAAGCAACTATCCATGACACTTTTATCGCGGGAGCTGTCTTTAAGAAGGTGGAAACAGCAAGAGAGAGGCCAGAGCCGTCAAGAGATAAGCATTTACAAAAGATAAAATAAAACACAAGGAAAACTGACCGATAATGTTACCAAGAGCCCATACTGCTTGCTCACAAACATTCATATTGCCACTTGAGAGCAATTCGAGAAATAATGGGACAGCACCGGCGTTCACCTAGCAGTACGTATCATTCTCACACGTCAAAATATAGAACCATTAAAAAAAATGGAAAAAAACCACAAACTAACAACGGCCTGCGTTTGTTCGGAGGTTCCCGAAGCGATGTTGGTCAGAGCCCATGCCGCCTCAAACTGTAGATTTACACTGAAAACACATATAATCTATAAAATCTCACCTAACCATTTATGAAGACTCGGGAAAATCATAGAATGTGGGAAACTTACTCGTCCGAAACGAGGCAGTTGACGAGAATGGGAAGGATATCGCTCGAAATGAGGTCGTCGATAGGCGGATTTCGATCGGAAGACAACATTTTGCGGGCCTTAAAAATTACATTAGATGCAATTCTTGGCTTTTGACGCATTTTTGGCCAATGAAAAAAATACAGACCTGTTGGACAGCTCCAAGCTTGATTGCAGGGTCATCACTTCGTGCCATCATAACGATCTGATGAAGCATGTTACTGTCAAATGTACCCTTCTGGGTCGATGTCCATGCATAATTCTCATCCCTAAAGAAGGTAAAAAAATTCCCATCACTGAAGTAGATCAAGAATATTTTGGCATGGATTCACAAACACTTATGGGTTCCTCATTTAAAGCAACTTACGGGACATTGATGTTGCGACGCTTCGAAAGCAGATCTTCCCTTTTGTCTTTTCGAATGGTAACAGCCTGGAAAAATCGATCTGTTAAAGGAGCGTACTCATCAGAAGGACTTCGCCAGGAAAAACACGATATAAGTAAGCGTGTACACTTCATATTCCAGAAATGGGAAGGACGCAGCTGCTCACTTGAAAATAGCCCCGCGCTCAAGTAATTCATGGTCGTCCTTCCTTGTCCAGCCCCCCCCCCCCTAGGAGACTGTCTTGGGGCCGTATGCTATACTTCCCCTCGAAGGGAGGGGTCCCCCACCCTGTATGCTACACTTCCCCCGAAGGCTCTGGGGGAGAGGCCGCGCCCACCAAATCAGGGGGAGAGCTCCCCAAGTGTTGAGGAAGACATCAGCCAGCTCACTTTTTTTGCCTACTTCGCTTTGTTTCGAACATTTCTTTCTTTCGATACAAAAACATACTTAATCATTCTTCCAAGATTTTTTTCACCTCTCTCCTTTTTACCCATATTGTTAAAGGGGTGTTAGGGAGAGATATTCTGCGGTATTACGGTATTGCCATGTGATGCTTCCAAAAAGGTTTATTGCTTTCCATTCTTGAATTTGCTTTCCTTTCTAGTGGATTGTTTACTTTCATTTCCATGAATTTCGATTTTATTCAAATGGTTCTTCTCTAATACATGTGATTGATGTTAAGGGGCGTTGAGAATTAATACTTGCCCCTCTAACTCCAACTATATTGTGTGAGATTAATATGACATACGCCTTAAGAATTTTGTAATGTGCGTCATTCATTTAATAGGAATATATTGCTCTGCAGCTTTCAAGTGAGAGTGTTTGAGTTTTTTCAATGTACATAGCCTATTTGGAAAAATCATGACGCCTAGCGCATTTCGCCAGTTCCTAGTAACTTCTCTCGTTATAAGATCTGTAAGCTCTATCCGAGGATAAATGCAATATTTCACAGCTACAAGAGTTGATTGGGTCCCCACGGGAGGGCTCTGCTACGGAAACTAGCAAACTGCCCTCACCAAGCCGAACTGCGCCGAAGAAGCAGTTATTTTCAAACATATGAAAACAAATATGCTAATCAAGAACGTTCCGATCCACTTTGAGAGGTGAAGTACGCCGGCCACAAATTCATATTTATCGCTGCATCAACTCTTGGGAGAATGGTAATACTCCTTACTGCCTTTGAAGCTGACTTCAGCTCGCCGCCACAAACCCTACCAGTGCTCACCACGCCTTACCTGTGGGCATCCTACGGCATCGTCACTAGCAAAGGATTCTAGTTATCGCCCTCCTCCCTCATGCAAGCAGCGTTTGTTCGAGCCGGTACTACTCCAAGCTAAGGTAAGCGATCGGATTACTACCAAAGTATTGAAAATCCTTCCGAAAATCCTTTAACTAGAATGTTTTTGGTGCTGACCGTACTTTGGACGTTATAAACTTTGTTCAGCCGAAGTCACTTCCCTGTTACGCTGCTATGTTACCAGCCACTTTTTCTTATTGCGCATACTGGCAGTAAGTTGCGCAGCTGGAGAGCGGAGAACCTAGTGGTAGAGCCAGGACCACTATGAGGGGAAAAAATACATGGCGTTTTTTATGCTAGGTGGGAGAGATTCAGCCACCTCTTCTTCCGGAGATTCCCTACATTTGGACCATTTAGATTGAGAAACTGTTTTGTCCGACCACTATTTGCAGAGAGTCCTAAGATATTAAATAATTAATATGGTTTTCCTCTTGACCTCGATGCTCAGTTTAGTCTGAAAATAGCTTTATAATAGCAGGACAAATAATTGTAGTTGATCGTCATCAGTCCTAGCAAATGATCATCCGAAATGTCAGAAAAAAGCTATGGATTCCAAAGGCTGGATGTACAGACTACTTCCCCCGAATTTGCGCCATCAAGCTTTGCGTCTCTATCCTTTCGGGGGATCCCCTCGAGTGCAGCATACGGCCGCTCTGGAGAAACGTCCCTCTGGGTGGCTTTCGCCTAGAGGGACGTCCCGTACTCGAGGGGAAGTATAGCATACGGCCCCTGGCGAACAGCAAGCGAGGAGCGTGCTAAAGCCGCTGAAAGTGCTAGTTCTAATGCCCGCTCAGTTGGACCGCCCACTTGCTAGCTGTTCTCCGACGGAGGGCCGCTCAGTTTTCTTTATTGGGGTGGCGGGCATTAATCGGAATTGGATGTCCTTTTTAATGACCGCGCTCGTGCCCATAAGTAATTCTGCTCTCCTTTTACTACATTTTTATTCATTAGGATCATATAACAGTCAACTGCAACACATCTCGTAAGGCAAAACGCGTAAAATCACGAGTGATGCCGTTCTCTTGATGCAAAAGCTCGATTGCACTA